GATTTTTGTGTGTAATTATTTTTATGAAAATTATTATATTTTTACTTTTTGTTCCCCACGTGGCCGGCTTCCGTGGAAAATTCCAAGCCTCACGTGATTGGTCGCGCATGCGCTGATAGAAACCTCGCACGAGTTTAAAATTCTAATTTACTTGCACAGGCTCTCGCGGATCGTGAAAATATTCTAAGAGAACCTTGTTATTGCGCATGACACGGGACTTGGAAATTTTGAACAGAAAGAAATACAGTGAGAGTAGAAAGAGATAGAGTATCGAGCGAGATCACGGATGTTGTTGGAACAACCGAGAATCACATGGGGTACAATTCTAAGCATGCCAACAGGGCAAGTTGTGACAACATTATTACAACATCAGTGTTGCATTAGTGGGAGTGCACAGGTACTCAGAGAGAGGTTATTCAGAATTAGTCTGAGAATTGATTCTGCCAATCATTTTGATGTTCCTTTTTCCGAACTATTTGACCTGGGACAATCTCAAGAGACATTCAAGATAGAAGCGTTTACTTCCCCAACAGAAGAGGGAAGACGAAATATCAACTTAAACAGAGGAGGGGGGCAAAATTCTGACAGTGATGAGGAAGCGGGACGTGGTTCACCTCGTGATTTGGGAGTTTTGGGAATTGACAGGAGTGGGGAAAATAGCGCGTCACACAGCAGACACAGTCCGACCACTGACAACCTACCACCCCCACCCCCAATAACACCCCCACCCCCGGTCATGACTTCGGCATGTATCATGACAAATTCGGTAATCACCACGATGTCTCAATCATTTCCCACAAATACTTGTGCGATAATGACAGCACCCCAAACGATAGTGTCATCCACAATGGCACCAAGTGTCCTCAGTTTAAGGGAATCAGTCGCTCGTTTCAGCTTGAGCCCTGAAATGAGAAAACTCATCTTATTGATCCAACGTTTTGCGGAGTTATCAACGGGATTGGACTTGGGAGGGGTAATCGATTCTGGGGTAACCCACCAATTGCCAATTCAGGGCACACCCCAAAATCAACAGAGTGAAGTTCCTCATACTCCTCTGCAAAGAGAAACTGATGAGAGAAGTAATTCACATCACCCCACCTTAAACGTTAGGACTATTGAGAATCATAAGTGTCCCATTTCAAAACAAGAAAGAATTTCGAGGCTAGCGACTGATGGTAGTGAGAAGATCACTGACGTGGGAGAAGAATCGAGGTTTGACAAGAGATCGGTTTTGGGTAAGAGGGAACAACGTCCTTATTGGGACAGTGACAGAGCGCGATCTAGTAGAAATACAAAGAAAATCAATGTTAGGAGGACTCTTTTTAACGAGACATCTAGTGACTCGGAGTCAGAGAGCAGCGACGCACTACCGACAAGACGTGACTTTCGAGAAGCAGAGAGGCGTTCTAAAGTTACAAAAATCCTCAAAGACTGGGACATTAAATTTTCCGGAACCGAGCGTGAAGACCCGGAAGAATTCCTGGAGCGGATTGAAGATTGTCGATTAGGCGAATTGTTCAATGACGAAGAACTCCTGCAAGCAATTCCGAGTATTTTTCGAGAAAACGCGAGTCGTTGGTTCCGAACTTTGCGACATGACGTCAAGTCATGGAAATCGTTTAAACGGGCGTTCAAACGCGAATATTTGACTACGACCGACGATGACGAGGTGGTTGACGAACTGAGGAGTAGAACTCAAGCAAAGGGGGAGAAGATTTCTGCATATTTTACAAGCTTGAGGTTAATAATGGGACATTTAAAAAGACCATTGTCAACGGAGCAACAAGTTAAAATTGCTCATAAAGGTCTGACCCCAACATATCGTCAACAGGTGGATGCGTCGGGAATGGAGTCTCTCTCAAAGTTGGAGAAAAATTTGCGTCAGTATGAAAAGGTGAAGGACCTTGATGATCGGTATCTTCCCCCACCCTCAAAGGAAAAGATGCGTTTCCCCGCTGCAGCGTTAAGGGGGCAAAGAAAGATTCGACTAAAGGGTCGAAAAATGTGGCCGCGATAGAGAAGGATGAGGGTACCACTGATCAAGAGAGTATTGCGGAAGTGACCAGCGGGACGAAAAAGGCGGAAAAGAAAACTAAAAAGTCGAAGACGAAAAAGTCCCAGACGAAAAAGTATTCTGAGGAAGTGCAGGTGGAAGCCCTGAAGCAAACTACCCCCACCCCTCTCACCACCCCAGTCCAGGTACCGAATCCGCCGACGTACGCTGCAGTAACAGCGAACAAAGGGAACAAGAGGTTCCAACCTAAACAGGCTGGTACAGGGACGGTACCAGTGGGACAACCAGGGACACCAAAACCATTTGTTGGCCAAATGGTAGTACATCGTTCAACACAATGTCCACAAAGAACGTGTTTTGTGTGTCAGCAACCAGGGCATTTTGCAGCACACTGTCCCACCCGTGCCCAGCAGTTGGAATCTTGTCTGGTATGCAAGACTCCCGCGGTAAATTTTTTGACATGTCCCACATGTATCCACGTGCGTAATGCATTGGGAAACGGCCAGTGGGGGCACAGAACGCGTCTGTACCCCCCTCCAACCCCCCCCAGAAATCAATAGACAAGATTTCTCGTGACAGGGTAGAGAGGTCGTTGACAGTTGGGGTAGAGAGGTCAGAGAATTTTAAAGAGAAAAGGAGAGCGTTAAATTCATTCCCAGTCAACCAAGGAGCATCTTGCAGTTGGCAGTGGAGTGGGGATGAAGTTTTTGAACAGAGTGGGGAGTACCCATTCAAACACAGTAAGAGGGAAATAAGTAGAGGAGAGTTAAATGAGGAGAACTCATTTAAAAATTTGACTTGGGGTAAAGGAGAGGTGAATAGTAAGGAGTACTTACTCACTAAAGAGAGTATGACTGTTGGGACAAAAGGTACTGAAGGTGAGTCAGTACCAATGGTCCAAGGGAGGGGAGAGGCTGTGACGGGCACAGCTGACCCAAACCTTATTATTGACAAGGATGTGGATGGTAGCCGATGTGAAAACAGATACTTTTTCCGTATGCACATTGGTAACACTGTGGATGGTCATTCCCAGAAATTCGCTATTAAAGTTCTTAGCTCAGTGATTCAGGACATCATTTTAGGCGTTGACTTTTGCAAGGTTTGGAATATGGATGTTCAATTGGGACCTGGGTTGTGGAGAGTTTTCGGTGGTGACTGGCACATGTTCTGCGTAAAGGACACTATAGAGGGCGAAGAAGAGATATACGCCGAGTGTGCAGGTATCTCTGCGTTAACGGACAAACAAAGAGATATCGTGCAAGAGGTGGTTAACCGCCTAGTTCTACCACAAGGTGAGCCCTTGGGTATGACAGACTTGACGGAACACCACATCAGGATGACGGATGAGACTCCAGTCCAGCACCGACAACGACGAATGTCCCCAATTATGATCACTTGGGCACAGGGTCATGTTGTCCAACTGTACAGACAAGGGGTAATAGAGCCGTCGGGAAGTAATTGGAGGACAGCTCCGGTTATAACAAATAGAGGCGATAATGACTTTCGACTATGTATGGACTTTAGGGACGTGAATAAAGTCACGGTAAAAAATACGTATCCGCTTCCGACGATAGATTCGATTCTTGACAAGCTTAGAAGAGCCCGTTATCTATCGAAAATTGACTTAAAGTTGGCATACCATCAGATCCCCATGGCCGAAGATAGTAAAAAGTACACGGCATTTGCCATTCCTGGGTCGGGACTTTGGCAATACCGCCGTATGCCTTTCGGTTTGACGAACGCACTAATGACGTTCCAACGACTGATTGACGCCCTTTTTGGACCGGAATGTGAACCATTCGTGTTCGGATATCATTATTGTGACTGATAATTTTGACGAATACCTTAAATGGTTAGAAATAGTTTTGAAGAGGTTGGCTGACGCGGGTTTCGTGGTGAATCCTGACAAGTGTGCATTTGGGTGCTCACAAGTCAAATATCTGGGATATCTTCTGGATAGCGAGGGATTACGACCTGACCCGAAGAAAACGGAACCGGTGCAGAATTACCCAGCTCCGACAAACGTCAAACAAGTCCGTAGATTTTTGGGTATGGTAGGGTGGTACTCTAGATTCATCAAAAATGACAGTGACATAAAAGTACCACTCCTCAAATTACTTCAGAAGGGTCGAGAATGGGAATGGGGTGACGAGCAACAGGAAGCTTTTGACGTGTTAAAGAAGAAATTAACATCGGCTCCAGTTCTAGCCCGTCCTGACTTTAGCAAAATGTTTACCATCCAGTGTGATGCTAGCAATGATGCTATTGTTGCTGTTCTGACTCAGGAGTTTGACGACGGTGAACACCCGATAATCTACATTAGTCGAGTGTTGACAGGGGCCGAGAGAAATTATAGTGTCACGGAGAAGGAGTGCCTGGCACTATTATGGGCAATTAAGAATTTCGGCCATACGTTGAGGGATATAAATTCCGAGTGATCACGGATCACAGCGCATTGCGATGGCTGAGGAATTTAAAAGACCCGACCGGACGACTTGCGAGATGGGCATTAGAAATGCAGTGTTGGAACTTTGAAATCGTTCACCGGAAGGGTGCACTGAACAATGTTCCTGACGCATTGTCTAAGATGACTGAGGATGACGAGGCGGGAATTGACGCGTTCGAGACTATTGAAGACCAATGGTACTTAAACAGGATGGAAATGGTCCAGAAGTTTCCAGCACGATTCCCGGGCTGGATGATTGATAACGAACTCTTATATCATTATCGAAACGACCCCTTGCTTCTTCCAATTAATGGTAACGAGGATGGCTGGAAGTTGGTTGTACCTGAGGAGTATAGAGACAGAGTTCTACATGACGGTCATGCAGTCGCATCAGCGGGTCATCTAGGAGTGGAGAAGACTTATAACCGAGTGACTAGGGAGTACTACTGGCCAGGAATCTGGAACGATACCCATCAGTACGTTACTCGTTCTCCTTAATGCCAACTCCATAAAGTCTCTCAGGCTGGTCCCTTAGGATTGATGGGACAGAGAATCGTGGAACGACCTTGGTCAGTCGTGGCGGCTGACACGATGGAATTCCCCTCAAGTAAGAGTAGATGTAGATACTTGGTGGTTTTTCAGGATCTGTTCTCGAGATGGGTCGAATTAAAACCCTTAAGATCAGCTGATGGGAAGTCGGTGACTGGAGCATTCGAGGAGTTGATACTCTTCCAATGGGAGACACCTAACTTTTTGTTAACTGACAATGGGAAGGAGTTCGACCTGCTGTATCTCAAGGATGCATTTCAGGAATATGGAATGAAGCATATTACTACACCTCCATATCACCCTCAAGCAAATCCGGTACAAAGGAGTAATCGGACCTTAAAAACCATGCTTTCGGCGTTTATTAGGAGTGACCATCGTGACTGGGACCTCCATGTTCACGAATTTCGACATGCGATGAACACGGCGACCCAAGCAACAACCAAATCTTCCCCCGCATACTTGAATTATGGTAGGAATCCCCGATTAATTAAAAGTTTGCGACGAGAGGTTGAGGCTAAAGACAAGGTAGTTCTGATAAAACCAGAAGAGTGGGTTGACAGAGTGAAACGTTTAGACGCGTTGCGGGACATGGTGAAGAAGTTCATTGACAGGGAGCGTGACAGACAATCTGGGTACTATAATCGAAACCGCAAGGACGTGCCATTTAAAGTAGGAGATTTGGTATTACGCAAAACCCATAAGCTGTCTAGCGGAAACCGAAATTTTGCGACAAAGCTTGCTCCAAAATACGAGGGACGTTTTGAAATTGTCGAACAATTGTCCCCAACGGTATTCGTATTGCTCACTAGTGATAGTCGCAGAATCCCCAAAGTCCATGTCACCGACCTTAAGAAATACTTACCCCCTGGAAATTGCCTTATTCCGTACTAATGAATTTTAAAATTTCAGATACCGGAGAGAATAATTTTGACAAGGGAAAGATGGAAGTTTTGACATGGGATGGAATTAGAGTTTAACAGTTTTTTTTGTTTGTTTTTGGGCTTTTCTTTTTTTTTGAGTTTGTTACAGGTTCGTTTGATTTTTCTTTTTGGTTTTGAAGTGTTATCTGGAGGTAACACGGACTAGGGGAGGGGCTTTGTGACGAAGTGGTCGTCAAACATCCCCCGTTTAAAATGACGCGCTTGATTGTCGGTCCCAGGAGGTGGCGCCGCCGATCGGAAGAAGGTTTGACTAGCCGCCGGGACGCCGAAATCACATGTTCGCGTCGACATTAGTTGTGTATAGAGACTGTAGTGAGAGTACGAGTACGAGTCGTGTATTTTTGAGAGTAGTTTTTGGATAAAGTAAGATTTGTTGGTCGAGAGTTCGACAGGTTGATTTTGTGTAAAGAGTTGAATTTGTTGCTGAGCAATTGGTCGAGTGACCAAGAGTAGCTCATTTTTGTAAAATTGTGGAGATTAAAGAAAAGTGACAAGAATATCGACCAATTTATTTGATTTGACCTGACGGAGATCTTTGAGTTGATCGATTTGTAACGAGAGCTGTGGGTAAGTGTAAATTTGTTTGTTTTCTGTCGTGTCTCAGAAGGTCTTTTCCCTTTTTTTGACTGGTCATGGCGGAATCTCCTTTGAGATTATTTTTGGGAAATTGTGATGCGGTTTGTGAATTAATAATTAATAAAAGTTGACATTTGTGATTGGTTTGTCAATTCCAATAAAAATTGACTGGCGTCTAACGATTCACGTTTGGGTTTCTTTTTATAACAAATAAAAAGGGAAGGTTAATTAATAAGATTTTTGATTAATCTAATATTAACGTTATAATATATACAGTGAAATTTTCAACATTCAGTAACTGTCCCTTCCGTTATGCCACGCCTACAAGGGTAGGTAGTGGGAATTGCAGGATCGTATCTTGTCTATTTGCGTTCTATAGATGTTATATAATAATTACACAGGCACACAAAAAAAAGTTGTCTGTTTCTTGAACTAGACATATATTTCTTATAGTATTTTGGACCGCTGAAACCGAATCTGAGTTCAGAATTGCTCCATCACCCTCAGTTTTTTTTAAATCTTCAGATTAAGGGTAGTTTTTTTTAATAAAAAAATTCAGAGTGTGATGGATCAATGCTGGCTTTTTTTTGAGTTAGTAGAGCAAAACTACATACATGTAAGGTTCTGTTTTTATAGAAACCGGTAATTTAATATTTTTTACTTATTAAATTTGAATTTTTCTATTTAAGGGTGTTTCTTTCGATTTAAAAAAAATTTAGAGGGTGAGGGAGTATTTCTGGATTTGTTTCTGCCTTGCTGGAGTAAAAATACCTGGTTATAAAATTTTTTAATCAGTTATTTTATTGTTTTACCTCCTGAATTTGATTCTTCAGATTAGGGGTAGTATTTTCAATTAAAAAAATTCAGGGGGGTGCTGGATCAATGCTGGCTTTGTTTTTGACTTAGTGGAGCAAAGTTTCGTAGATGTAAAATTAGGTTTCTTTAAAAAATAAGTTGATTTATTTTTTATCTCTGAAGTTTGAATTTGTCCGTTTAAGGGTAGTTTTGGTCGATTTAAAAAAAAAGCTGAGGGTGATGGAGCAATTCTGAACTCAGATTCGGTTTCAGCGGTCCAAAATACTATAAGAAATATATGTCTAGTTCAAGAAACAGGCAACTTTTTTTTTGTGTGCCTGTGTTATTTGACATTTTATATTTATTGTTTAAAGTAGGTGAACAATTACATATAATTTTTATTGAATTCTTACAAACAATAGCTGATTTGACCCTTTAAAAGATTTTCGAAAATTCTGTACGTTGAATTTTATTAAAAATATTTTTTTCAAGAGTTAAGAAAAATAAAATTTTAGTTCTGTTTACAATTTTTTAGTTTTACGTTGTGTTAATGGGTTGAACCTCTTTAATGTTAAAAAAAATTTATATATCGTTCAAATTAAAAATGTTAATTTTTATTAACCCCCTTGAATTTTTACTCCGTTTCGGCTCTGGCAGCTCGCACTTTTGGCCAAGGAAAGGGAAAACGAAAAGTGGGACAGTTTCTGAATGTCGGTCAGAGACAGTTTCTGAATGTGGACAATTAGCTGGAGTGACAGTTTGTGAGAGTCTACTGTATATATATATATATATGTATATATATTTAGTAGCAAATTGAAAGCAAATTATAGTAAAATTATTTTTTTAAATCCTTCTTATTATATTAAGTTCTAAAACGACCGACACCAAAACCAAATTTTTGGTTTTCTTTTATAAATTATTTATAGTTTTCCTTCAAAATTTAAAATCACATGCCTTACATACATGTCTATTAAAAAAAAATGCCAAATTTTTTTTGCGCGATATTTTGCAAAAAAATTTTTGCAATTTTTCATATTTTTACGCTACTAGCACATAAGATACGTCACTATTTTAAATCTGAGCTAAAAAAATTAAGAATTTCATTTAAAAATAGTGTTTTAATTATTAAAAAAAACATAAATGTATGAAAAGTAATTAATTAAGTAAAAGTACTAATTATTAAATTCATTTAGAAACTGTCTAATTATTAGTATAAAAAATTTACATAATTGTATGAAAAGTAATTAATTCACTAAAAGTAACCTATTTAGAAAAATTAATATTTAAGTGTTTTTTGCGACATTGATTTTAGGCGCAGCTGCTATTTTCCAGCACAGCCATTTTATATTTATATTTGTTTGTAAAGCGTAGCCGATGTTTCTGAGCTCAACCATTTATTTTTCTTAAAATTTTTAAAAGGCGCAGCCGCTCTTGTTCATCGCAGCTTTGTATTTTTTTTAACTTTTGAAAGGCGCAGCCGATAATTTCTAGCGCAGCCTTTTATTTTTTATTATAATTTTTGCGTAAAGTGCAGGCTTTAATGATAAGTGCATTTTATTGTTATTCTGAATTATTTACTTTCTTTACAGTTGAAATTATTAATTAATTTATAATTTTTAAACAGAAGTTATGTTTTAATCTAAAACTTCTTGATAAACAATGTTTCTTATATAAATTTCTCCTTTACTGTCTTTCATTTTTTTATCTCTATTTATTATTTGTGAATCATTAATTAACAACAATTTTAAATTTTGTTTAGAAGTTACTCTTGACAATGCAACATATCGTTGTCCATGCCCAAAAACATGTGATGGTAAATATATTCCTACTTTTTTAAACGATTGACCTTAAGATTTATTAATTGCTAATGCAAATCTCAGACGTATATTTTTTCTAGAATTTCGTTATTTAATTCAAGTACATCATTATTTCGTGGAGCTAATATTACTTTTTCATGTAATTCACCTTCATCGGAATCTATAACATTTCAATAAATTTCAGTAATTATATCTTCATTACAAATTATTTCATTTGATAACTTTGTTATTTACAGTCTGTGTTCTATCTCCATGTAATTGATAATGTTTGTCTAAAATCTCCAGAAACAATAATTATTTTGTTTCCAAAATTTTTATTTTTATTACATAAATATTTTAATAATCTATTTACTGCTTCAAAAGCATATTTTGAGGTCATCGTTATTTCATCCCAAAGTATGACACTACAATTCTTAATTTTATTGCCGTCCATTGTGTTTGGTTTTATATTACACGTTACTTCCTCATTCATTGTTAACGGTAGTTTAAATGTTGTCCGTACAGTTTTACCATTTATTAATAAATTTGCTGCTATTCCTGTCCATGCTACAGCAAGAATTGGAATTTTATTCATATTGAAGTATTCAATTAATACATTAAGTAAGTAACTTTTACCACAACCTGCAGCAGCATTAATATAAAAATTTCTATTTGCATTATTATTATAAATGGCATCTATGATAGAATCAAATATATGTATATTTTTGATTTTCGGTTAAAGTATTTATATTATTAATAGATGAATGTAAGTTACAATTTGAAAAAGACTCTTGAAAATGTATTTCATTATCTAATGTTGGTAAATTGAAATCTTGTAGAGAAAAAGTATTCATAGTTAAAATGTTATTGATTATTTGTAGAGCAGATATTTCTCCTTGTTCAGGATGCATTTTAGGAAAATAAAACTGCATTTTATATCTATCGTATAATTCGCGGGCACTAATTGGATTATGATATACACATATGTAGGCAAAAACTTCGCATATTGCTGTTGGATATTGTATTTCACAAGCTTCATTAAGACATTTATTCCATTCATCATCAGTTGCAATTAGTTGCCTTTCTTTCGCAGCTTCAAAGAATGTCGGAAACACAACATCATTAACTGTTCTTATATCTTGAAAAGATGTAGCACCTTTTACATGCAATAGTAATAATCTTAGGTAAAATTTTTCACGTTGACGTGGACTAACTACATACATTCTACTTATGATAGGCTTCATAGACATCTTTCTTTTATTCCATGTCTTACTGCTTTTATTAAAGACATAATGTTGTGGAATTTCCGAATAGAATAAACTTCTGGCTCCTATATCTGTCTTATTTAAAGCTAACCATGCAGTCAGTGTCGTATTTACATCCTTATTTAAACAAATTTCTTCTGAACCTTCTTTGAAATATACAATTTGTTCATTTTCATTGTGAACAGCTCATCTCTAAATCGTATGTAACATGTCGTGCAATTTAAATTCTACTATTCTATACATTGCTTCAGGAGGACATACATATCTTGTGTTCACATATTGTTTTATTTCATCATACTCTATATTATTTACCTCACTATTATCATGATTGCATTCCTTTTTTTCGACTGTGATTTTATTATTAAAAATAGATTTCATTTCAATTAAAGCACAATCATGTCCTTTATAACAATATTTAAAAAGGTACTTAATTAAATGTAACGATGAACATATTGGTTCAACATTAATGTGGGCATTCATTCTTAAAAGTAAAAACGGATTGTACGGTACAACAAAAC